TTTTTAAAAAGGAGCTAAAGTGAATAGAGAGAAATATTGTTAATTGATGGTATATGGAAGGAATTATAATCATTGTAATGAAACAAGGTGTATGGTTTATTGAATGTAAAACTGATGATCTGCCCTGTACATTTTCACTCAACTCACAACAAAAACTTAAAAAAAAAAAAAAAAAGTAAAACAGCCAGCGGGTATGTAGCGGGGGTGACCATGCAAGAACTCCCAACTTTTAGATAGTACCCATTTGACCTAGCCTTGATGGCTTGCTGACCAGAACTCGATCAGGTAAAAATAAAAGAAGTATGATACAGAGAGCAAGTATAAATTGCTACAACTTGATGAACTGGACCTTAGTTTATGGATGAAATTGCCCAAAATTCCCAAAGGGAAGGATTCTTCACATCAAGGATCAAGCTTCCCTCTTTGGTACACTGGGCTGGTAGGTATAGGAAACTTAAGACTTTGGCTACCAAAATTGGGATGGGGAGTGCTATAAAGGCCTGAAGTGGCTGCCGTACAAGCTTTCATGATGGGGCTTAAGTGTCAGAATGAGGGAGGTAAGATAGAATCCCCCACTAAGTAGTTTTCCTCTTGTTCAGATGGGTCTGGTGGTGTGGGGATAGGATTTTATGATTCAGTTGTAATTGTTATCAGGACTAATGGCAATGGTCATAACTATGCATGTAGAAGAGGTGTAACTAAAAGAGGGAATACTTCATTTGTCAGTTCAGGAACAAAGGACCCTAGGACCATCGAGGGGGAAGAGCATGAGAGGAGCGAGGGATCCTGACCAGAAAAGCACCAACAACAGAGATGGTGGCAGAGGCGATGGCATAGAGTGACAGAGCAGCAGTGGACTACAAGCCCATGGACTGAGAAAGGCAGTGTACCTGTGGGCAGGAGGCTGACATGCAAAATGTGCCTTTTGGACATTTAAACAAGTATGTATTTTAAATGTGGTCTGAGTACATTTAAAAAATAAAAAAACAAAATATAGGTAAATACTGTTAGCTGATGGTACATGGAAAGGGTTGTAATCATGGCCATGATTTGTTGAATGTAAACTGATGATCTGCCCTGTAAACCTTCACTCAATTCACAATAAAAGCATTTTTAGACAAACAACCAAACCAACCAACCATTAATGACCGAAGACCAGAGGAGTTGTGAGATGACCTGGAGAACATCATACATGAAGCAGAAGGTCATTTAAAGGACAGGAAAGAAAGAAAAGACAAAACTGGTGTCAGAAGAGACTCTGAATGTTCTTGAACAGAGTAGCTAAAGCTACTGGAAGAAATAATGAAATATAAGAGTTGAACAGAAAATTTCAAAGGGCAACTCAAGAAGATAAAAGTATTATAATGAAATGTGCAAAGACCTAGAATTAGAAAACCATCAAGAAGAACATGTTCAGCATTTCTCAAGCTATAAGAACTGAAGAAGAAAAAAAAAAAAAAATCAAGCCTTGATTTGCAATACTAAAGAATTCTATGGGCAAAATTTGAATGATGCAGGATGCATCAAAAGAAAACAGAAGCCGAGAAAGTAGTATGTGAACTTCCAAACTTACAACTAGTACCATCTGACCTAGCTTGGATAGCTAGTTGACCAGAACTCGATCCAAAGAAGATAAAAAATTTGATATCGGGAACAAATGCAAATTGCTACAATTTGATGAACTATATTTTGCCTAATGCAGTGACTCAAAATTCCAACAGGAAAGGAAGGATTCGTCATATCAAGGAACAACCTTGTTTCCTCAATGTACTGTGTTGATGGGGACAAAAAAATTAGACACTGGCTATCAAAAATGGGGAAGGGGAGGCATGAAGTGGCTGGCTTACAAGCTTTCATGAGTGTGTTTAGATGTAGAATGAAGGGACGGAAAAGAGAAATAGAGAACAGAATGGATAAAAAATACAAAATCTTCAATATGCCACCTACAAAACACATATAAAATAAATAGATACGGCCTAAATACCCATCAGCAGAACACTGGTTAAGCAAACTTTGGTACATACACAAAATGGAATACTACAAAACATTGAAAAATAATGATGAATCTGTGAAACACCTCCCAACATAGTTGAACCTGGTGGACATTATGCTGATTGAAATTAGTCAATCACAAAAGGATGAATACTGTATAAAGACCAAGGTTGTAAAAATTTGTTTAAAGTTTTCTTAATAAAAGAAAAAATCTATGATGGTCATGGGGAAGGGGTGGGAAATTTTTCACAGGCTAGAGAGTAGACACGTGTTAAAACAGGTGACAGAGCAGGCAATATACAGAGGAAGGTTAGCAGAGGAATGATGAAGGTAACAGGAGACACAGGAAGGAAAACAATATATAACATGAACAGAAATAAATACTATTAACTGTTGGTACATGGAGGGAATTGCAAACATATAATGAAGCAAAGTATATGATTTGCTGAATGTAAAACGATAATCTGCTCTGTAAACCTTCACTAAATTCACAATAAGAAGCTGGGGGTAAAAAAGATGGAAGGAAGAGAGAGTCAATGTACCAAAAAGAATTGGTCAATGTTCAACCATTTCAAGAGGCAGCCTATGACCAAGAACCAATGGTTTTGATGGAAGAAGCTCAAGCTACACTGACGACACTGGCAAAAAAAAAAAAAAAAAAAAAAAAACACCCATAAAAACCCTAGTCTCTAGAACTTGAGGAAATGCCAACTAAAATATTCACACAAACTGATACTGCCTTAGAAGCACTCACTAATCTATGCCAAGAAATTTGGAAGACAGTCACCTGGCCAAGCGACTGAGATTCATATTTGTACTCATTCCAAATAAAGGTGACTCAATAGAATGTGGAGATCATAGCACAGTATCATTAATATCACATGCAAGTAAAATTTTGCTGAAGATAATTCTAAAATGATTGTAAGCAGTACATCAGCAGGGAATTTCCAGAATTGTGGTGTTGGCAAATATTGAAAGTACCATAGACTTCCAGAAGAACAAATATATCTGTCTTGGAGTTAGTACAGGTGGAATACTCCTTAGAAGGAAGAATGGTGTGACTTTGTTTCATGTACTGTGGGCATGTTATCAGGAGAGATCAGTCCCTGGAAAAGGACATCATGTTTGGTAAAGTAAAAGGTCAACCCTAATCATGTTGGACTGACACAGTGGCTACAAAAATGGGTTCAAACCTAACAATTGTGAGGACAGTGCAGGACCAGGCAGTGTTTTGTTCTGTTATAAGGGGTCATTACAGCATCTAACAACAACACTTTTGAGATAGAGTTTGGTACTGCATTTACTTAAAAACAAATCCAAGCCACTATCTTCAAGTCAATTCTGAATCATAGCAACCCACAACCATGTATAGGGTTTCTGAGGCTATAAATCTTTACAAAAGGAGAAAGCCTTTCTTTCTCCTGTGGGGCAGCTAGTGGGTTTAAACTGCCAACCTTTAGGTTAGCAGTTCAATACTTACCCTACAGCACCACTCAGCCCCCAGTAAATGTTGTTTTCAGGTTACCTGTTATCTGAAAGTTTTTGTTACATTCAATTTTCCACTGTAGCTAACAGGATTACAAACTAAGTTTTATAATTCTTGAAACAATTTGTTAGATAGCTCTGTTACAAAATCACTATAAATGCATGCAATTACTAACAACCATGCTCTACCACAAGGAGCTCTGGTAACTTAGTGGATTACAAGTCGGGCTGCTAACCACAAAGTCAGCAGTTTGAAACTGCCAGATGGTACAGGAAACAGATGAGGCTTTCTGCTCCTGCAAAGATTTACAGCCTCAGAAATCCTATGCAGGGTTCCTATGAGATGGACCCAACTCCATGGCACAATACCACCACCACATATATGCTCTACCATGGAGTCCTAGGGTGGCGCAGTAGGTAAGCATTGAGCTGCTAACTACAAGGCCAGTGGTTCAAACCCACAAGCCACTCCACGGAACCCCTATAGATGATAGCTGTGAGTCAAAACCTAGTTAACAGCATTTAACATCAACAACAACCATACTCTGCCATGTAATGCCTGGTAAGAATCTGAACATTTGTCCTATGTGTCTGAATCGACTCCATACAACGGTTTGGTACTTGAGGAATAAGCCACTGTGCAATGTGCACTACTCCACCAGCAATGTGCATGCTGATGGAAAATGTGATCCCAGTGAGGTAAGCACTTCCTGATTAAAGTATATGCTCACTCAGACACTACAGTGGTCTACAAGCACAGACAAATAGGAATCAGGCAGAAACTGCCTATCATCAAGATTGTGAAACAGGAAATCATACTTCAACAACAAACCATAGTCAAAGACATGGGCCTGGGGGGCCATGACACTTGAAGGCCACATGTGAAGTTAGGATCTGGTATACCACCTCTATTAGGGTCCGAGGGTGGGGACACAAGAATTTTCGAACTAAGCTTTCTTCTGGGTCATTTGAAGACAGTGGGCATAGAGATTGTCTGAGCCTGACTGAGTCTCATCAGCATATTAGCACAACACACTCAGTCTTGACTGGGTTAAAAAAAAAAAGTGCTTGACCATCTATTGCTTGTTATCTAGATTGACATGAGAGCAGAGCAGATGGTGTTTGGGTAACTTCAGAATACCAGATGTTGCTTGTTTGTTCAGGTCTCTTAGTTAATCAAACTAAAATGAATACTGAGGCCATAACAAGACAGAGTTACACCAATGCCAACCTGAACACATACTATCACAAGTTGTGATCAGATGGGCTACAAATCATAGTTCTATTTTATAGTCATAGAAGTAGTCCCAAAGGATACTTGGAAAATTTTTAAATTATTTTAATGTAGGAAATATTCAAATAATACCTTTTTTAAAAAGAAAGGGTTTGCACATCTTTTAACTTAGTTTCTAAATAGCTATACATTTCCCCTCACCTACTCAAAAAAAAAAAAAAGGGGGGGGTATTCATGTAATAAAGAGTATTGAATGACTTAGCAATGGGATAAGGTAAAAATGCATAGCATAAACATTATAGAATAAGAACACATTTATTCAAAAAGTCAGTAATTCAGGATAATATGGTTTCATTATTCGAGACATCTATAACTTCTCCCATTTTCATTTCAGAATATAAAATTTATAGTACACAGACTCAAATTAAAGAATATATTGACTACAAAACCATTTCTGTGTGGTGTCCAATCTTGCAGTATGTATTACCGTTCCAACTAAATAAGAAAGATTAATTGTAAGTCTAAAGCAACTTAAAAATGAGGAAAACGTCACACAGGTGGAATGTTGGTGTGAGGTGGAGGAAGGCAGAGCCCACAGACTCATCAAACAGACTTCAGGACAGACTACATAAAGATGTTAACATAATCCAACCAGCTGTTATTCAAACTGTCCGATACACAAAGTGAAAAAGTAACTGAGGACATTTCCACATGTGGATTTCAGATAACCTGTTTCCAACTACCTATAAATGCAAAATCCATCAAGAACCATTGTGAAAACTGTTCGGTGAGACAGGCATCAAACGGCACATCCAAGAGGCGCACAACTCCAGGTTGGGTATAGAAACATAAGACACCAGAAGCCTGAAACAGTTTTCCTCATCTTCCCTTTCCTTCCTCCTGACCGCCTCTTCCTTTCAACCTCTTGTAACCCAGACCTGTCTGTCAATAAGAAACCAAGGATTTGGTAATACCATGGGTGATCAGACTGTTAACCTCTAACCAACCCCAGGAATGTTCCTGTTTTTAAAGGATTTGCCTCTGCTAGATGGGGGAAAACTCCAAAGAAACAAGAAACAAACACTTCAGGGAAATACCAAAAGGACTAAACTAGATGAAAATTGACCACAGCAGATGTTCCAGAATCAGAAAAGGACATTCTACATTTTCAACCCTTATCATGTTCATTAAATCAACAGCAGAAATAGAAACCTTCCAACACTAACCCATGACACCAGGCAAGATTTCTGCGAGCACACATTATTCAAGTTGCCACTCAGTTTTATTTGGGGTAGAGAAAAATAAACACAGAAGCAAAAGGGCTCCATCCAAATGGCTTCACAGGCCAGCACAATGACATAGCAGACCCAATATAATAGTAATCTCCCTTTCCTACTAAACTCCAAACATTCTTTAATTCCCTTAAGGACTTTGGTGATTTTTTTCCTGATAGGAACTTTCTCCTATGCCTAGCACCAGAGGCCACACTGAGGATACTCTGACACGTGCGGATTCGGGCTCCAGTGGAGAAGCCAACTCAGCCCTCTCACCCAGAACAATTCACTCCCACTCAGTTTTAAGTTGGAGTTCAGAGCACAATTTCAGTGACTTTTCTTTTCTTGTGGGAAAAAGGTATACTTCATAGGGTTAAACTCTTCCCAAATACGCTCAAATTCCTCCAGAAAAAGCTTCACGTACTCTTCATCCTCCATAATAAGAACGTTTTCTCTGTTGTTTTGGATGGCTTGCGTAGTCCAGTTGAGTGAACCAGTGATCAGTACCTTCTTATCCACAATTGCAAACTTGTGATGCATGTAGCCCAGGTCTTGATCATGCCGAACCTGAATACCTGCAAAAATGGAAAATGCATCTGTCAGTACTGCCTGCAAAGAAATGACCTCAGTCTCAGCTGCTGACCAATTTCTAGCAGCTCTGAATTTTGCCATTTGTGAATATTTTGACAGGAAAAGGGAAGAAAGTCATGACTGCACAAGGAAGTAGTGGCTGAGTAAGGGCCTTGGGAAGTGATCTCTCCTGGAAGCTGCATTACAGGGACTGCTGAGAAGGGATTAAGAGTGAAGAGGGTTTCAGCCTTGGCACAGGCAAAACTAGAAGCCATTGTTTTGTAGAAAGGGTCTAAGGAGAAGTACAGACAAGAGACCCCACTAGACATCTGTTCAACAGATTATCCCTTTCTTTCTTTTGGAATACAGCTCACTTCATCCACACCTTCTAAAATCTACACTAGTCAGCTGTGTATTTCATTTTGTCCCAGAAAAATATGTTCTGGGGCTTCCTTGCTGTGACACTCCCCCTTTTACAGGGTCCCCTGTAAGCCTGATGTCCTCACATTACCAAGATTTGCAGCTGCTGCCTCACACACCACCCAGGACATACTTGGGCAGGGACTATGCAGGGTGATTCAGTCCTGGTGAGGCCCATGGGAAACAGTAAAACAAGTCTGCCTTAAGTCAACAGTAAGGAATTCCTCTCTTTCAGGTCACCCACTTCCCTTCATCATGCTATTTGAAAAAGAAAAATTCTCTTTTTCTAATCACTATTTCAAAAGCTCCAGCACCTACAATAATTCCTGGCTCAGCAACCATCTGTTAGGTTAGTGGGACACTTGGAAAGCTGACTTAAAAGGATGGTTTACAGTAGTCTTCAGAACAGCTACCAGATTTCACAAATAAAAGTACAGGATGCCCCAACTAAATGTGAATTTCAGCTAAACACCACACAATTTGGAACTTTTTTTTT